TTGGCCCCGTTAAGATCTTTGAAAATACCACAAAACCTACTCGATCCAATTTGATTTGCTCTAAGACACGCTGGCGTGCGGCTGCCTCCTCTTGCTTCGCTCTACGTCGCTCTTCGGCTATTGCCCTTGAAAATATAACTCGATAATTTATTGAAAATGTACCATAGCGTGGCCTATGTAACTCAATATGTAGAACCATCTCAAGAATTATGAAAAGGATGTCGGATGACCTGTGCGAAAAAATCCAGGGTGCATGAGCGAATAGTGGCCTCATGCCTCAGTCTCAGGGCATTTTATGCAGCCCCAAGATGTTTCCTCAAAGCGGCTTTGCGTTGGAATGCCTCTTTTAACCTCTATGCCCTGGATTAACCAGGCCATGGAGCGATGTATTGGCTTAACCCTACCCTTCAAAACTGTAAAAAGACTATATTGACTCTCACCTCAATTCCATTTCCTTTTGTTTCTCCCTGGTCTCCAACATCTTTTTGCCCTCTTCACGACGACGACGTTCTTTCTCTATCTGTATGCGCAACATTAGTTGAAGAAATAACATTTCTGAATAGTTGTATGAATAAAGTTTTCGGTGAACAACCTCTTCCTTCCTGGCTTGCTCCTCCTTCAGAGCACGGGCGGCTCGTATTTTATCTCTCAACTCAGCTGCTTTTTGTGCACGCTGTTCCGGTGTCAATGCAGCTATGACCTAAATCATCAACAACTCACATTCTTTCATGAATACTGGTGAGTATACCATGCTCGAATGGAGCAAATAAGAACAAATAGTTGACCTCCGTGCTCTCCGAAAAATTTTCGTGGCCAGATTTGGCTGCGTGAAACATCATGCCATTCTCATCACGAAAAAGCTTATTACAACTGAAATGATGGTTGCTTTCGAAAGTAACAACAGTTTTAACACTCACTGCAACACTACGGTACATACTCGTTGCATTTATAACTGCCAGGAGTAGATTCGGTGAGCTCAGCCTCTTTCGGTTTATCATCCGTCGCACCAGGTTTGGCATCTTCTGGCGGTGTGGCCGGGATTTCTTCCCCTTCATGACTAATCAACCAATCCATAACCTGCAAGAAAGCAAAGCGCACTTATTTTCTCGTAAAAAAGGAAAGTGGTTGCATGGATTAGTTTTCAGACAAGGTCACTGATCACCTGTTCTAAACCTCCATTTCCTGTCTGAGCGAAAGCATATTCAGCACGAGCTCGCTCGAAGCCCATGTCGACTAGTTGATCAACCACGGTTGACATCTGTAATCAGAAAAAAAGCCACCTCCAATTTGAAAACAAATTGAACGGGAAAAATCTGGTCGCGATTAAAATGAAGTAGCTAATAGAAAAGTAAAACTAAACAGAATCATATCTGTAAAGAAGCCAATGCAACTGCAACTATGTCAACGAGCCTATAAGCCGTAATGGCTGAGCAAATGCGGGCGAGCTTAATGTAGTGGTTCGAATTCCCAAAATCAACAGATGACCACGATTTTGCCCTAAACTTGAAAACGAAATGAAATGAATACATTGCTTCGATGGAATCACATCCTATGCGCATGTCGACCTCTAACGGAAACGACTGCCTCGGCTCGAAACAAAATGAGAATAAAGGAAAAAAANCAGATCCTCGAATCGTGAGTAATCTAGGTCACGGATCAAGACTCTAGCCATTGCGCAACTCAGGGCCGGATTCCACTCAGGAACTTGAGTGCTCCTAGCTTTTGACGTCTGTGGCGCCCCTAAATAGCATGGGTTGTGAGACAAGAACTCCGTCTTTGCGTTTCCTACCCATCATGAGAGACCTGAGCGCCTCCACCGTGAAAGACTGTGGGGCAGGGACTGAGGAACTAGTGGTTGAGCGAGATTGCGAGTTGCGAAAGATATCCACGTGGAAGAAAGTAAGGCTCCAGGGGTGGGAAGGAGGCACATGAGTCATTCATCCACTGCAAGGACAGGAGCCCACTTCGAAGTTGTCACCGCGAACATAAATTTGAGGAGGTGAGTCATGATCCGCTCACAAAGGTTATTTATATTACCTACGATTATGCAGTCCTCGTCACTTCCAATGCTTCAGTCTTCGAAGTTGTACCCCTAAGAGACCCTCTTTCTATATGACCCTATGACTGCAGCTTCATATCAATACTTAAGAAGTTCTCCGTCTGGTAAGTAAAGTGAATCTAGTAAGAAATAAATGACTATAAGCAAAGGCTACACGGACTATTCATCGTCAAGGAGTGAAGCAATGTCAAAGACTACGAAGAGTTTATGTCATAGATATGAACTCCTATCAACTCAAAAAACAGCACGCTATCTTACTAACTCTTACGAAATATCGCTCGAAAACCACGCAACGGCTATTGTTTGTGTGTATATCGCAACATGTATTAGATCACAAGAAAAGATATTGGGAGAGTGTTGGGCCTCTGCTATTAGCCGGGTTAAATAGAGAAAACCTGTCTATCTTTGGGTTGCCAGCATGCCCTAATCACTCACATTCGTAACAGTATAACAATACTATGAAGAATAAGAGGAGCCTAAGCATCCCCGAAAGTGTTACCCCAAAATCTGTTCTTCAGTCATAACGACGGCCGCAAAGGTCTCACCCAAAGTATATGTATAAAAGACTCAGCCTTAGGAACATTTTGCGGTGAGACTCATCTAGACAGACCACAAAGTCGATCTTGCTATATACTACTAATTTCAATTTTTCTCGACTAATTACTAAAACATCACGTACCTTAACATTAGCTAAGTAAGAGATTGAAGCTTTCGCAAAGGTAAGCATGTATCATGGCAAGATGACCGAGTGACCAAAGAATTAGCATTTCTCACAAGGATCTCATACCAATCAAGTAAAAGTAGGAAGTTTAGCAATTAACACAACTACACAAAAGCGAAACAACATAATATTCAAAAAAGAATTGTCATGAAGCAGTTATCGTATTGTTGACGAAATGAGCTGAGAGTATAATAAAGCACACTAAACTGAGTAATTTTTATTAAGGCACAGCAAAAAGTGAAACATTCTAAATACACTTCATAACATTATTATTAAAACACCCTCTCTCTGAAAAGTTCAACAAATCTACATAATCTACATAAAATCTATAATACAGCATCAGAAGTATGTTTCGTAGGAGTTATTGTAAAGAACTCCGCGAGTTCTAGAGGTTGATACGGCAAGGCTACATTATGGTAGGTAAACTCAATGAAATAAATACACAGGGTTCGTAAGAAAGCAAAAGCTGGGCTTCAAAGAATTTTTGGGAGATGTCTGCGGGTGTTTAGAGACCGTACAATGTCACACGTTAGGTATACCGATGTCTGAAGTTGTTGCAGTTTTCGTCACGACATAATTCAAGCGTGAACTATTTGAGCAGTGCCTGAAATGAAACTCCAAATGCTCATAATGGGGCAGCAAAATTATGAGCGAGGAAAGTAAATGTCGGGATAATTCGATTAACGATAGTTAAGGATAACGACTTCGGACTTGAAAGGATATTATTCCTACATTGGAGTCTGAGGGGCTTGTCGATGTTCTGACAAGTTAATATCGACTTCCAAAACGCCGTCAAGGCCCGTCAAAACTGATTCACCCTGAATTACTACATCGAGAATAGTAGAGAAAAAAGAAACCAACCTCTAAAATGACTAGCTGCATTAGGGTGGTGCAGGACCATTTGTGATCAGTTTGTTGACCAAAAGCTAATCGCCATCGGCAATAGCGGGAGGAGCAGATGAACGGCCAGCTAAATGGCTAACCATCATGTCACTGCAAAGTTGCAAATATTCTTTTCTGTTTTGGGAATTGTGTGGAGCAATGTGAAACCTTTATGAGTGATTCTCACCTGTTGCTTGGCTACAGTGTGCACATTTGCATTTGGCGGCTTCTCTTGGATCAATCGCAACACGGGGAAACGAACATTTACATCGAAAAGATGTCATGTTGTTCCCCTCGAGGCACCGTATACAATGCCATATAAGATGTTGATGTGGAGGAGCGGGTCCTTCAAGTGAGATAAAATCAAAGAGAAATCGGAGCAACTAAAACAAAAACCTAGGGCGCAAAAAGAAAAGTGATTCCTGACTTGGAGGTGGTACAGATCTCGGAGACAGTTTTCGAAGTTCATCCACCTCCTTCTGAAGTCGTTCCACATCTTCTACGAGTTCGCGAATTTTCGATTCATCACGGTTCTGTAGAAATAAATTGAGCAGAAGTTCATTAACCAAGGTCAAGCATGTTTCTATGAAAATTTCACGGTAACCGATTTATGAGATAATACATATTCGAAATTTCTAAGAACTTCGAAATTTTTGAAACCTAGCCAGAGCTAAGTGCAGCTGTTGGATCATAAGTTAACTCGAAAGGCAGCTCAAGGTCAATTCAGTCAAAATCAATTTGAAGAGCAGTAACATTAGATGTAAATTAAATATGTTAAGCGCCACGCTTTCCAGAGTGGAACTGCAGGCTTTTCGTCTTGTACGTTCATATCCCTAATGAACAAAAAACTAACTTCTTTTGTGGAAATGAAGCTTCATTGACTAACCGCATTTAGCNTGCAATCATTTGCTGATCTTGACGGCAGGTGTCGATCTCTTGTTTTGTCAAGCGTATTCGATCTTTCACCATGTCGAGACCAACTTGTTGAGCTAAATTTCTAGTGTCAATCGAATCTTAAGTTTCGAAGTATTAAACGCACGCCACCGCGTTAAAACATTATGAAATGTACGAAAATAAGGGGAAAATTGAAAAAATTAGGTAAAAGTCTGCGACATCTTGTTTCAAAACACCTTTCATATCACTTATTTTGTCATCTGCTTTGCCGTAAAGTATACCTCGAATAACAGACTCGACTCCGTGGTAAGGCTCAGGAGCATCCGGATCGGTGAGCCAGCCGTATCCCGATCCAGCAGCTTCATCGCCAAACGTGTTGATAAAAAGGCTAGGTAGTGGTGTTGCGACTGAAATTAAGACTTTTGTGAAAGCATTTATCATGAAACATGCTACTCTACCCTCACTGTCAGTTTGTTCAAGAACTATGGGTTGATGAACCAATGTTAATACGAATTTAAACTAAACAATTCTCCTACTAGAAGCTGGTGCACTAGTTTTTCTGCAATCCACTTCGTCGTAAGGTGAGTGCCGAGAATCATCCGTTGAAGGTGAATACGACATGCGGGAAGAGCTTGCTGTAATAGTCATGTTAGCTCTCAACGTAGCTATCCATTGTAGGAACAACTAGCACAACTTGACTTCAATAACTTGAACTTATTCAACTACTATCGTTGTCCATAATCGATTTCATAGAACATTTTGAGACTCCAGTTATTCACCTATATATGTGTAAGACGTGTGGAGCATTCAGGAATATCGAGGGAGTAGTGAAGGAGACAAAAAGCATCCTGCTCAGTGTTCACCTTTTCGAGACTATGGTTCTTCCTGCTTTGAAGTACGCCTCGGAGACTTTCACTCTACGTAAGAAGGATGAACATACACGCAAATGCGGAAAGAAATCCAGGGTTCCAAGCTTAGTCAACGAACGAAGATGAGGAACGCTGTTGTTCATGTCCACGAATCGAAAATCAGGTGGGCCTGGCACATTATGCGATATCTGATGGCTGTTGGACTAGAACGTTTACTGCTTGTATCCTTCTCCAGCGAACTCCAGGATGGCCATAGCGCGATGGTCAGATCTCTTTACGAAAGCTTCTGACGAAAGAAATGCTATGGCTGCTGTCTCTTGAGCGAGGACGATCCACGAGACTACTCTGAATCACCACAAGGACAAATGGCGTTATTACTGGCTTTCACTCGAGGAAATCGATGATCAACGCTATACAGGTGATACAGGTGATATATAAGTATTCACCGTTGATGTTACGTCAAACCAACGACGGATTAAAGCATGGGCGACTACCATCGACGCGACGCATACGGTATCGATCGCCGCACGCGTGGCTCACACATGTGTACAGCAAAGGTAAGAGGCGAGCAGCAGTGCGGATGCTATTTGCAATTCATCGACTGTGAAGAATTCCTGACAAGCATACGAGCACGACAACATCCATTATAATTCGTGCTGTGAAACCGTTCAAGGTTTCGCTCGTCTCAAAAAGCGCTCGTGGTAATCTTGAGATAGGTGATAACTGAGAAGTCGCTCCTTCGTTTTAGCAGGCTCGTTTCATAACAATCTCAACTTTAGGAGCAGGAATAATTCTGCGACCTAGGCTACTTCAGCTCAACCGCTACAGAGTAACCTTTCCGCAACATCAGTGTAGTCAGAAAAGAAGCCAAATTCATACAAAATTTCAGGGTTTCTATTACACCCGGAGATAAACTGTCGAACTATCGCAAAGGTGGGTAAAGGTTTCACTTAATCTGTGGGCAGTAGGGTAACATACTGAGTTCATTATAAAGTATGTTCAACATATCCGTCAATAAGTAAGTAATCCTGTGAGTTGTGATTGAAGAATATATACAAATAATCAAATATGATATAATAATGCGATTTAGTGAGAAATAGGACCATTCCAGCATCTCATGTACTTCCAAAAATCATATGCCGGAAATCCAAGAATTGAATTCAGGAATGTCCAATAAGAGTACTGGACAATGATAGACATCATTCCCGTAGCAATCAAAGCAAAGATAAGGAAGACCGCTTACGTGATGAAAGCGCCGAAGGTACGAAGATATGGTCTTCCACTTTGGGCAACAACTTCCGTCCCACTTTTTTCACCAGCCGATCGAGTTTGCTCCTGTTGAAATCTTTCGTGAACGAAGCGCTTGACGTCGATGGCTCAGAAGCATCGCTATCCATTTAGAAGCATTCAGTGATGGTCTGCCGGCGAAGGTGACGAACAACTGCAATTGAAATGATGACGACATGCAAACTCGGACAAATCAAGCGCGACCTCACACCTCAGAACTCGGGCTCTTTTAACCGGGAATTTCTGCTAGAAGACATATGGCTCCACCAGTACTGCAAGTTCCTTCTGGAAGTAAAGCAGGTTCTCTAAAACCTCAAACAGGACTCGGTTCTTGCCTGAAACAGTAGATCTGAGCAGTGAGTTTAAGTGTTACCTTCTTGATTTTCTTTATTTAT